TCCCAGTAGAGGAAAGGACGCAAAACATCTTCTATCAGAGTCTATACAGCCGCTATCTCTGCTTTTCATATTCTGCGCCAGGACCATTCTGTTTTCTTGCAGCCTTTCATCCAGAGGTTCCTCAGAGGCCTCATTAATCCCACCCCACCAGTTTGTCAACCCACTCCAGCTTGGAGCCTCTCTGTCGTTCTTCACAAAAGCTTTTTCAACCCATGACCTCCACAGACCTCTGCCTCATCTCATGGAAGATGGCCATCACCTCCACTAGATGGGCCATTGACCTAGCCACCCTACTTATTGATCCCCCTTTACCTCACATACCACAAGTTAAGGTGGTGCTCTGCTCTGCCCAGTTTCCTGTCAGAAGTGGTCTCTGCCTTCCATATTAATGAAATTATTGTCCTTCCAGCCTTCTTCCAGTCTCCCTTTAACCCTGTCGAGCTAGCCCTCCCTCCTTTGGATGTTCACAGTGCTTTGGCTGTTTACAAATCCAGAACACAGTCTATCCAACCCTCCCAGAGACTTTTCATTGCCTATGGGGGCACACACCAAGGCTCTTTCATCTCCTGACAGACATGCTAAATGGATAAATAAATATGAATTGATAAATAAATAGTTCATGTGATGTTCCTAGTGAATGACTTCTCTGGCCTTCAACTGTCTGGCCCAATCAGGGCTCATTCCACCAGAGCAATGGTGATGTCCACAGCATTGCTGTCATTCTTCACACAGAGGGACCTGAGTGTCCCTCACTGACCTCTGTAGAGCTACAACTTGTTTGAACCTCATTCGCCATTATCTCCCTGATGCTTGAACTAGAGTAGACTGTGCCTTTTGCAGGGCTGCCCTTTGTTCTCTACTCCATTAAGCAACATCACCCTCCCACAGGCTCGACAGTGTGATATACAGACCAGGAAGAGGAACGGAAGGCTGCCTACCTGTGCTTACCTGCCTACATTCCCATCCACCATCCCCACTAGTATATCTTACCACAGGTGGGGAGATATCTCCCTTACCCTCATGGGAAGGGCGACATACTTCTGATGACCATCTTATTATTTGAACTGAGGTCTCACTGGGATCCCCTCACCTCATGCTGGGTGTGCCTTGGGGCTGGCCTTCCACCGATTAATAACTAATCGGCTTTGGAATCTTCCTGAATGAGCTCCATGTATGCCTGCAGAGCCCATATGTGTGAATGCACAGATGACCACTTGAAGAACGACAGTTACAGGTGGGCAACCTGCCTTTACCGTACAGGTTGATGATGATGTACCCAACCATGAAGAAGTAGCTGTACTCTAAGGCTTTAGTCCTGAAAGGGCATGTGTGCAGTTTGGTTTTCCCCTGGATCTTGTGTCATTCTTTGAGGCCTGTGTATTTACCAGCTATGGGTGGTTCCTCTCCCAGGCAGAAATGGTTTAGCCATGGCTTTGTGCCCTGAGAGCCAGCCAGTTGGATTGTGTAATGTGTTGTTGTGTGCTGAAGCTCCACTTAGATAAAAATGCAACTGCCAGGACTTTAACTGGTAAAGTTTGTTCAAATTGCTACCTTGCCCATTTTAAAAGAGCCGCACTGGCTACCTGTTAGCTTTTCAACCTGATTCAAAGTGCTGGTGTGTGCCTTTTAAGTCCATGAACAGGTTGGGAACCATGCACTTGAAAGAGCATTTTCAAGTGCATGGTTCTAAGTTTAAAACTCCTAAACTTAGAGTCTTCAACATTAGAGGTACTTAGGCTGATGTCAACTGGGTGAGGGCTTCTTGGCCTTGGTGCACCAGCTCTGAAATTGGCTTTCTAAGGAGGTGTGTCTTGTACCAACATCTTTATCTTTAGGCACCACACAAAGGCCTTTTTATTCGCTCAGGCTTTTAAAGAACTTGTTTTGATCTTTTGTCTGTTTTTATTTGCATTCTGCTGTTTTGTTTGGTTGAGGGTTAGTTGTAAACAACTCTAGGATCCATTTTGATTAAAGGCAGAATGAAAATACTTTTAAACAAACATACTTGCAGCTGCTAAAAAGACATTAAATTTTAATGCCAAAAAAAAATCCAAATAATAGCCTCTCAGGCTACACTGGGGCACAGTCCAGCATGAAACTCTTTGGTATATGTCTAATGGAAATGAACTAGCATTCTTGTGCACTGCCTGATTAATTTCACTGGATCTCATACATAAGTCCCTTTTCCAGGTGAGACTGTGCCCCATGAGGATATTTGAAGCAACAGTATCGCCTTGCTTTTTCATAGGATTGCCTCTCTCATAAGCCTGCTTCTAGTCTTCCATATGACAGTTCGCAAACTCCTAGGAAACAAAGTTCTTGAAGTAACATATCTGTATCAGTTCAGTTTTAGGAAGTGTCCTTGGCATAGATCAGAGCAAGATGACTAAACAGCTAGAGATCTGGGCAGCAAATGCTTATGGGTTGCAACCTCTTAGAAAATCAAAGCGTAGAAAAAGTTTGATGGTGAAATAAAGGGAGACAGGAGTAGCCACCCTGGAACCGCATGGCAAGTGTTTGAAATGGGGTACTGGACTGGCTGGCACTCAGTAATATGTGAAACAGCCCTAACAGGAGTGTACTTTGTGGAAAGGGGTGGCTTGTGCTTTTATTTTCAAAACTGCATTTCTTGAAGTCAGCAATGTAGGTGTTTGCAGTTTCAGCAATATGCTTCCCTCCACCCCAACTTTGCTTGAAGTATGGAGAGTAGAAATCCAGTCAAGTCCATAATCAACATAGTTTTCACCCATTATATTTCAAAGGGTTGAAATGACGCAGCAGGAGTTCTTTTGTTTAGTCCCCTGGTTTTTTCTTTTTCTTTTATAGAAGCTCTTTGTTCACATGCATTCAGAGCCTTAATATATATGGAAGTTGGTGGCGGAAGGGGCTGGGCACTGGTTAAAGGGAATAACAACAATAAAAGTTGCAACCTTTGCCTTTGCACACTTAACAAATGTGGGCAGAACCTGGAAACAAAGCATAATGTTTTTAGGAAGCAATAATAGGCAGCTGGGTGTTTCAGTTGCAAGTATTTATGTGTATGTTTTCCAGGCTGAAAGTAGCTTTATTTACAAGCTTTAAATCACACAGAGAAACAAAAAAGAAGTGGGAAAGAGGGGAACAGTATTTTGCTAGAAATCCTTTGGTCTTGCACAGGTGCAGTAATAAGGCAATTAAGTTCTGGAGAGAATAGCAGGTGCCAGGCAGCTGCATGTTATTGGACAATATAGTCAGGAAGACTAAAAGCTTATTGGCATTCTACAGAGATAACAGAACGGAATCCGGTCCATCAAAACACTTGAGTTGTCAGAAGCAACACTGGGGGCTTTTCACGCACAGCCCACACAGACTTTACGGAGAGGAAGCGATTTTAAGTGAATGTTACAGGAATGGCAATCCAGGAATTACTCATCATTGCTTGAAAGAAATGCTCTCTTGTGAATCCAGCCGGTTGCTACTTGTGAGGATCCTCATTTTCCTTTGTGTCTGGCAAACTCAGGAAAGTCCTTCATCTTATCCACTGTGTCTAGACTGCTTCCTCAGGAGGAAATGGCTTTCACCTCATGGCAAATTTTGTCCCCTGTGCAGTGGGCACGTTGGATGTGGACAGCTATGAGAAGCAGTGGAGACTACAGTCTCCTAGCCAAGCGGCAAATCGCCGGAAATAGGCAAGTCAGCTGTGTCATTCAGGGAACTGTCACACCATTACATTTGTTTTATCAAAGACCAGAAAGAAAACTTGCCATTTGACTAGCTGAAATGCTTGCTGAATAATTATCAAAGCAATATTATGCTACATAGTTTGCTTCAATTAGAAGTTTATTAGATATAATTTTGCTGCAATGTTTTTTCCATTTCAGTTCATGCAAAAGAAAGCAAGCTTCCATTTATCTTCAGTTCTAGAATCCTCAAATGATAGTCTGCTTAATATTCTTCTTTGTGGATCGTTGTATTTTCTGTACAACTTCTATATAGATGTTTCAGGTCTATCTCACATTTCACATTGTTGGTTCTACCTTGCACTTTCCTGCTTGTTTGCTATTATCACTTATTTCTTGTTTCTTATTTCTCGAACAAATAACTTTGGGATAATATATGTTGTGGAAAACAACATATCATATATCTATGATTCTGGTAAACTGAATGCTGAAAGTAGATTTTTATCAGAAAGGGGGTTTCAGTGTTTGTGGGGTACACAGTTCAGGAACTTCTGCCTTTGAATACCTTTAACTTAAATTACTGATCAGCATGTATTAATAGTTTTGATGATGATGATAAAATCTATGTATGTAACATCAGGAAAGTGGAAAATGATATCCCTCCCATGCTTCTAAACATTTTTGTGCATTTTGTGTGAATTCCTAATAACAGGACTAGGCCCATTGAACAATAACAGAAGAGATGAATGATAGAGCCTGTGATTTGCTCAGTAATAAAATAGCGCTTGTGGTCTGAAATGTGCAGAGTAAGGTGGAGGACAAGACTGAATCATCTGCTTAAATGCTACTCTTGTCCGAACAACAATGTTGTTTCAAATCCATACTTTTTCGTTTTGTAGGATTATGAAACTTTGGGAATAATTTCCTTATTAGTTCTATTCATGCTCATTTGAAGGAAAATCCCAACATTTCGTTGAATGGTTCCATTGACATTGTTTTAGGCTGTCTATACCACAGCCTTAGATGGAAAGCGCAGGCTTTTTCAATCCATATTTAACTTTCTCTTACATGCATGTTTGCTTTTCTAATGCCTTGAAATCTTTACTGTCATGATTTCTGTGGAGTGAGCCTGTGTACATGATCTTGTGCTGCAGAAATCATGCTGCAAAAGAAGCTGAGTAGTTATACAGTATTCTGAATAAGTTTTCTAGCTGCCTCAGGTAGGAGAGATCTGCATTTTTAAAGTATTTGTGTTTTGGGTTGTTTGCCTCTTTGGTTTTTGAAGATATGCACTTGCTAATGTCATTCTTCCCCCTCCCCCTGTATCTCTTTTGTGCCCAGGAGTTCAGATTCTGAAGAAGCATTTGAGACACCTGAATCTACCACTCCTGTGAAGGCTGCGCCTCCTCTACCACAGCCACCACCTGAGGTTGCAGCATTTGACATAGAGGAACAGGAAGTCAGACCGCAGCTCCCATCAGAGGACACAGGTAACCACCATTAGGACAAATGGGATGTGCTCATTGCAGGAAGAAGGGAAGGGGACACTGAATGTTCATTGTAACTTCTTCTACAGTTCACTGGAACAAAATGGGGCGGGGGGACTGTAGCACTCAAAGAATGTCAGTGGTGGGCTCAACATAGTATAGAGAGCTGGTAGTTTCCAGATGCATTCCAGCACTATTGTTTGTTTGCTCAATTTATATTCCACAGTTAATTAATCCCAAGGACTCTCTAAACAAATTACAAAAAAAAACAATAAAAACAACATAATAAAGCACAGTAACAATAAACAGTAATAGTATAAAATATGCAACTGAGGGATCAGATATAAATAGATTAAAATAGTATATTAAAACTAAAAAACTGTATAAAGCTATATGCCTTAAAATTGAGCAGTGTAAAATCAATCATTAAAATGTCTGGAGAATAGGATTGTTTTTGCCTGGAGCCAAAAGATTGCAAGGATGGTGCCAGATGCTCTCAGAAGGCCGTTCCATAGGTGGGGTGCAACCACTGAGAATGCCCCTCTTCTTTCTCAGAAGGGCTTCCTGAGCCAATCCAGAAAGTGGGTTGGGAAAGTGCATAAGGGACCAGGCAGTCCTTCAGGACTGAAGCAATTGCTGTTTCTCTAACACAAAGGAACCCTTGTGCACAGAAGAACCACAGTGGATCAGACCGAGCATCCCTCTAATCCAGCATTCTGAGCACAAAGTGGACAGTCGGCTACCCGTGGGAAATCCATAGGCGGCCCAAGTGCCATATCAGCCTCTTGCCCGTGGTCCCCAGCAACACAGACAGAAGCATATTGCAATTAGCAATTTAATTGTGCAGTGCAGTTAGTCTGTGCTAGGGCAATGAGGGGGAAGAAGGAAATCTACATCTGCAAGTTATTTTCCTGTGCCTCTCCTGGAGCAAATATGCAGGCCTACTGCTGGTGGACTGCCCCAGTGGGGGCATCCTGGAAGTGGGTGACACGCACGGGGGATGTCCCTTAGCTTGCCCTTTGGGGTGCCATGAGGGCGTGAGTACTTCTTCCTTATTCCCTCATTTGTCCCTTGGATTTTTACCTGTTTATGTGGGTATATGTCTGGGACTGCACCAGGGAAGGAGATTAAGGAACCCGGTGGGAAGATGGTGGGGTGATCCTGTCAAGAGAGAAGGAGTACTAGGAGGAAGACTGGCAGGTAAGGAAAAATGCAGCCCAGACAGCTAACAGCTCTTTCATGTTCCCGTCCTCCTTGTGCCTGCAGGTTGATGGTTGCCATGTCAGCCTGCCCTCAGGCCTCTAGATCCTGCTTTAAATGCCAGATCAGTGCAGAATAAGACCTCCGTATCCACGATTAATAGTGAATGAGGCTGCTGATCTTGCATGAATAGCCAGGACCTGGGTGGAAGAACAGGGAGCACCAGGTTACCTGGTTCAACATCAGCGTAGACTTGAGGGTTGGGCAGTGGAGATTGCCATATTCTATACCTAGAGGCAGTAAAGGTAGCAAAGAAACATCTCACTGCCTCCATTCGGTCTTCCAATTGCAGCCCAGCAGAGCTTTTCATGGTTGTCCAGGGCCTATTACATGCCACCCACAAGGACATCTTAGAACCATCTAAGGCTAGTTCTGCCCTGCTTGCACTGGCTGCCTGTATTCTTCCAGGCCCAATTTTGAGTGCCTGTTTTAACCTTTAAAGCCTTACATGGCTTGGGACCACAATGTCTCTAGGAGCACCTCTCCCAGTCACAATCTACCTGGATGCTGCTCAACTTCTAGGGCCTTTTTCCAAGTGCAGTTCTGAGAGACTCAGAAGGTGCCAACAAGTGGACCCCTTTCTCTGTGGTGGACCCACGAATGGAACAGCCCGCCCCCACCACCCACCCTGCAGCCTGCCTGGCACCAAACTTGTCATCTTTTTGGCACCAGATTAAGACAGCCCTTTTAAAGCTTTGCGTGGCTACCGAGGGGCTTGAGAGGTCATTCCTTACTGAACATTTTAGCTGTTCTAAATTTTTAATATTCCTTTGATTTTATGGTATTTGTATTGTATTTATTATATTGCCATAAACAATAAAATAAAAACTACCCATCAACCACCCAGAGAGCATAGAAATGAAAATATAATAATAATAATAATAATAATAATAATAATAATAATAATTTATATATTTGCAAACTTTTGTATGCCGTCACCCCATGCCTCAGCATCTTGGGACGGCTTACAACGTAGAATTAAAAGAATAAAACAGTAACAAGTACAGTAAAATTATATAAAAACAAAAACAAAAAAGTGACTGTTAACAATAAAATTAATTTTTAAAATAGCCATTAAATAAAAAGGTTTTAATAATCTTGGGAGTTGTTCTCCAAAACACCTGGAGAGAGCAGAGTACCCTAAATGTGAACTGCAAACAGCACTTTTTCAAAATATCTCCGTCCGGTGGCAGCATTCAAAGCCCAGGACTGGTCACAGGGCAACAGTTTGCCAGGTTTTATGCTGAAGATGTCTATATGTTCTTTAGTGTGACAGTGAAGCTCCAGTCTGTGACAAAATGTCGTAAGTAGTAAGACCCCTTTCTGGAGCTGCTTTGAAGTTAAAGGGCAACATTCCTTTCATTTCTGATTTCAGAGGGTGCAATATAAAGAAGCTTTCTGTAGTCACAAAGCTGTATTGTCTACTTTTAAGTCTTCCTGTGATGGTCTTTCCTCTTTTACATAAGCATGTGTAACAAGACTCTTGCAATAGTGTCCTAATAATATCCCTAAAAAAATCTGTTTTCCAAGAACCCTTAAAAGCTGTAGCCAGAATATACACTCACCAAAAATAAACCATGAATTGCTCTAGTTTACTCAAGTCAGTTTGTAGTAAAACTAGGGGACTTGGAGCCTTTTAACAAATAATTGGATAATCTTGGTTGGAAAAAAAAAAATAGGCTGGAGCAGACACATTCTATGTAAGAAGCTGGACTGAATTCATGATAGAAATTTGTGACTTCTTGTGATAGAAGTGAATTTGCTAAAGGCACCTCCATGTTGTGTATGAATTGGGTGCATTGATTCATGCCGATGTCTCCTTGCCTGATTAAGCTGGCATACTGGCACAAAATCACCTTGCTATTAGGCACATTTTCTTGAGAACTTCTTGAGAAAGGGACTTGAGCTGAATAAGATTTGTAGTAGTTAGAAAAGTGAGGCTCAATAACCTAAGCAACAGAATAAATAGTACAAGTAAAATAAAGCTTCTTCCTGAGAATTTAAAAAGAATTCAAATGTTATTTTGTTGAAGTTGTAAAAACATGATATTTGTGCTTAAAATTGCTCAGAGATTGAAAAGTAGACACTGAACAACTTCACATGATGTAAAACACATGATGTAAACCTTGTGATTTACCTACCCTTAGTAGGTGTAGCTTGTAAAGCTGTTAGCACCTGTTGAGGGTGGGTGCTGGGGCGGCTAACAGACCAACGAGAAGTCCTATAGCAGAATATGGCATATTGATGCCACTGCACCCAGGCCCATTATGACATCGCCTTTTTAAAGGGAATCCAGGGAAGTTCCCAGACATTACTAAATGACAACTTGAAGGTCTGTTCTAGGTAAATGGGTGGAAAGCATTACCATAGACAAAATGATCCATTGTACAGAACAGTAGGCCTTGCTGTGAAGAACTCAGTAGGACTTCAACAGGAGGAAATCTAGCCTTCATAGCCCTTAAGAGTGCTTTTAGGGCACAACCTTATGCATGAAAAAGGCCCTTCAATTTCCAACATGCCCCAGCCAGGTGTGGAACCTGTTTTTGTCTAAATATGTATAGAATTGTGCCAGCTGTGTGACGACATGCATGTGGAAAAGAGGTGGTCAAATCAGTATTGCAAACATAGGGTCAAACTCAGCATTCTGCTAATTGTGATAAGCAGAGCTGTGCACAATTGGGCGTACTTGAGTGTAAACATGTGCATCACCTAGAACCCATGGAGACTTTCTTTTCTGGCAACCACATGTGAGGGTTGGGATTTCAGGATGAAAAATGAGAGAGCTCACATCTCCATTTCCATAGCACTCTGGTCCCAATTTAGAACTGGGATGAGCATGCTTACATTGAGGTAATCAAACAAATCACACACAGGTCTGCTATGCATGATATGAGGTAAGTGTAGTTCAGTTTAGATTTTCTTAAAAAAACCTTTTGATTAGGTCCCTCAGCAAAGCCTAGAGTATAAACATTGCATTTGTGGAAAGTGGTAAGTCGTTTTAGAAAGAGGTCAGTGTTTAAAGAAAAGGAAGCAGATGGTAGGAATAAATGGACAGCTCTCACAGTCTGCTGAAATTACTTGTGGTTAGGTACCCAGATCTGAGCATAATGCCATTTCAGGCAGGTTGCAACTAAAGCTGACTACCAAGTATTGCTTTTTCCCAAAATGATCTTTTGGGAAAAAGCAACATAAATATAAACATGTATTCTGTTTATTTGTTATTTGTTATTATTTCTATCTTGTCTCTCCATTTGAAACATAATTCATTTTCTTAAATTTTAAAATTAATTTTCAATCTAAAATGCAACCAAAATAATACTACATTTAAAATATAAACATATAAAATTAAACATACAGTTAAAATAACTCTTGACAATACTTTGTCCCCCACCACCAGGACCAAGGATACATGTTACAGAGAAACTCATTCAAACTTTTTTTCAGGACATTCCCCACTTCCAAAACTACAATTATTCTTTTGATGGCTCAAATCCTTATTCAATAAATACACCCCAAAAATCCTTAAACTTATTTTTATATGCTCTTTTCTCACTTTAATATCACACATTAATTTATCATTAATAGTGATATTCCAAACTTCTCTATACCAATCACACAATTGGTAATCACATTTTACTTTCCAATTCTTAGCTATAATTAATCTGGCTGCAGTTATTAAATTTGTTAATAATTCTGTATTATTCCAGCACCATTGTTTCTTATCAAATATTGAAAGTAATTTA